CCTCCCCCTTTGGGCTCCCCACGCTGTGTGAGTGCAGATTGGCTTTGAGGCCTTGCCTTGATCCCAGAGCATTCCTTTTTTCCATACACCTGATGTTGCCCTTGGTCTACTCAGAACAGCCCAAACTTCTCGGCAAACTTTAAAAGCCCTGCACAGCGCAGCGGCTGTATCCCCCATTGCCTCATCTCCTCGCCCACCCAGGTTCTGGCTGCACTTGGAAGCTCACTGTTTAAAAATGTGCTTCTGCTTTCTGGCCTCTATGCCTGTGCGCACACCATTTCTCCGTTAACCCCTTCTCCAGCTCCATTGATTAAAAGCCCCCAATTATTCAAGGGGAGAGTCTCAAATCCCACTCGCTCTTTGGAGACTGACTTCCCATACCAGTCTAGCGTGCTGCCTGTCCTTTTCAGGTAAACTTGCTGCTGTGCTGATCAGTATGATGTCCATGTCTCCATTTGTCAGTGACAGTGTGGAGTGTACAAAACAGGTGGCTTAGCCCCATAGTAGAAGAGGCAGCTGAATTGCAGTCAGATGAGTTGCCTGAGACTGGCTGGCCATTTTGTAGTGTAGGAGCTGGGCTGGAATGTGACTTTGGGACAACTTTTTATATTTCTCCTACCATCATCTTTATCCCACCTCTTTCTTTTATCCAAACGGAGCCTGATGGGCTTTTAACCAGCGATGTGGATTCTCGGGCCCCTAGATTTCACGTCCTGGACAGTGGGGGAATCCTGGGGAATGAGTTGTGTCTCTCCCTGACTGAAAGTTTTCAGGGTTCTAGGGAGGAGACCATAGTGGATAAATAATAGGACTTTGAAGTGAAAAACTCCCTGTTTCTATCCGGGCTCTAACTCTTGCTGTTTGTGTGACTTTCATCAAGTCATTTAACTTCTCTCAGCCTCAGTTTCTTTATCTGCAAAATGAAGGTAACGGTAGGCCCTGTCTCCTGGGGTTTTGCGGGTTAGGTAGGTGAGTTGGTTTGTGGGAAGTGCTTAGCTCAGAGCCTGGCAGGTGAATGGAATAATAGCTCCTGTTAACAGCGCATGTGCGGCTCCTGCTTCTAGGGAGCGTGGGTGTCCCTGTTTACAGGATCATGTCCCTCACCGACCACAGGCAGCCTGCAGTATCCAGCTCCTCACTAATCACCTAAAATGTTGATTAAAATTTAGGCAGTTATCCTGCTTGCAGGGCAAGGCCAGAGGTGGAATCAGTTGGTATCTGGGGGCACCTCCACGGTGCAAGGCACTGCAAGGACGCCTCCCCTTTCTTGAGGGGCCTGTTCTGCAATCCCTATCTCTCGCCTTCAAAAGAAAGCGGCCACCCAGAGAGGGGCCTGCAGCTTTCTTTCCTGGATCATCCTGAGGGTGGACCAAGCTTTGAGTTAGGTTTCTTTGCTGAGTGGAGATTTGGCTTTAGGGGATGGGGCGTGCTGAGAATTCGGCTGGGGCAGGCCAGGAGGTGGGCTCAACATAGCTGCAGGTAATCAGAGGGGAATTGGGTGAGGCGAGTGTTGCCACCTGGCTTAGGCTGCACTGATGCTTGGAGTAGAGAATTTGGGCCTTCCTGGGACTGTCGTCCTCTCTTCCCTTTGCCCAGTGAAGGCTCCTGGGACCTCCTGATCTGTGCTCCCATTAGCATCCTGAGTCTCATGGTGACTTCTTTGGCCTCCCAGCCCTCTCCCACCTTTTCTTTTCTTTTGGGACTGGAAGGCTTTAAAGCTGGGAGTTTTACCTAAGGGGCAGGAGTGGAGGCATGGAGAGGGACCTGCAAGAATAATAGATGCATAGGGCTTTATTTAACTCATGTCTCTTGGAGATGAATTTTTAAAATATGTTCTTACTGATTTTTTTAGAGAGAGAGGGAGAGGGATAGAAGAATTGATGAGAGAGAAACACCTGCACACCCCCTACTGGGAATTGAGCCCACAACCCAGTCAAACCTCTTGGTTGATGCTCAACCACTAAGCCCCACCAGCCAGGCTGGAGATAAATTATTAATGAAAAATATCTTGAGACCCTAGACATTTACAATGTGGATGTAAGAAAATATTAGGGATAGCTCTCCCCTCCTCCTTTCATCCCAGTGCAGTGATAGCTCCTCCTCTCTCTCTGGTCTTGACCTCTCCTACCCCCCTCCTCCTTAATGCTGCAGAGACTTGTTGGTTATCGTTGTATCCTTTCTGCCAGTCTCCTCAGGGCATCATTTCCCCCATTTGACAGGTGAGAACACTGATGGAGTGAGGTTGAGGCTGCCGGCTTACTGGCAGCTAAGGAGTATCTGCCCCTGAAATGGACTGGCCCTTCCCACTTTGTTCTGCCACGTGCTGCCTGCATCAGTGAACGTTGGCCAGAGTCTGGAGAGCTCTGACACCCTCTTCCCTGTTCCCTCTTGCTCAGCAGGCTCCAGGCTGCATTTCCTCCTCTGGGAAGTGGTTAAGATCATGGGCTTTGGAACTAGGCCAACTTGGATTTGACTCGTACATCTATGGCCATGGGAAGTGATGTGTTGAATTGTGTCCCCCTCCCCCCCAAATGTGTTGAAGTCCTAACCCCCAGTACCTTAGAATGTGGCCTTATTAGGCAATAGGGTCATGTAGATGTAGTTAGTTAAGATGAGGTCATACTGGAGTAGGGTGGGCCCATATCCAGTATGAAGGGTGTCCTTATACAGAGACTCCATGTGACGATGGGGGCACAGATTGGAGGTGGGTGCAGCTACAGCCAAGGGACACCGAGGATGCTGGCCACTATGAGAGGCTGAGAGAGGCAGGGGAAGTCCCCTCAGCCCTCAGAAGGAACAGCCCTGCTGGAATACATGTCTGTTGTTTTAAGCCACTCCGTTTGTGGTGCTTGTCATGGCACCTCTAGGAAATGAATATACAGGAAGTTACTTGAGTTTTCTGAGCTTCAGAATTGGTAGGACACCCTGCACTATGGGATTTTGTGTGTGTGTGTGTGTGTGTGTGTGTGTGTGTGTGAGAGATGATTAAGTGAGAAGCAGCTCTGCTTTTCTACTCTAGTCTGGAAAAGCAAGGCGGATGTGGCTGACCTGTTTGTCTCCTTTGTCTTCCTTTAGCTGAGTGAGGAGTTGGATCAGGTGGTTGAGAACTCAGAGCGGGCAGACGAGCAGGAAAAGGAGGCAGTCAGAGTCCAGAGTTCAGGAATCTTACCAGGTAAGTGGGTTCAGTGCTGGGGTGAAGGGTGGGGAAATGGGGGGTGCTGCTGCTGCAGTGGGAAGCCCCGGGCCAGGCACCTCGCCTGTGGGTACCGTGGCCGAGGAGGAGCCCCTGTTTGCGCCTTGGTGTCAGATCTCAGGTGGTGCCCTAGTTTTAAAGCTATGCATATTTAACCAGCCTGGGACAGAGGCTGTGCCTAGGCCCGTATCTACCCTTTTCTGTACCCGCGTGTGAGCCAGTTCCTGAGGCCAGGTCTTTGGATACAATAGCAAGGACTTCGGGTGTCTGCTCTTCTGTTAGTTTTCCCCTAAGAAGCAGGTGGTAGCTGAGCCCCTAATATCTGGGTCACTTCCCAGAGCCTCTGGAAGAATATCTAATAGGCACCACCTCTCCGATATCAGACCTCTCCAGGATAGTCACCCAGCTGGGCGAGCAGGGTCCTGTCAGTCAGGGGGCCTCTTATGGAGCCTTGCAGGAACCTCTGGCACCGTTGACCACCTCTTCCTCCCCTGCTTCACCCACTGCTTGCTCACATGTACCTGCCATGCTCACATCTCTCGCCCAGTGGTGACTGATAAACTCTGGACTTATTTATCCTGTATATCCAAATGCCCGGGTGATAGCTCTGTTTAGCTGTTCCACAGGTACCCTGAACTCCACTCATCCAGATTCGCCCTCCTGATCTCCCCACTTGACCCTCTTCCAGTGTTTCCTGTTCCTGAGATTTTTTTAGAGAGGAAGGAGGGCAGCACTACCCACCCAATTGAACCTGGGAGTCATTCTTTTTTCCTTCCTTCCCTTCTTCACCACTTTCTCTGCCTCGTAGCTGTGCCTGCTTCTTTTATCTTGCGCTCATTCCCTCCCACCATCGGAGGGAATTCCTCTTCCTGGAGTTCTCCTCCCTCCATCAGCTAGTGGATGCCTAATCATTCTTCAGCTCACTCATTTTTTTTTCTACAAAGCCTCTGTGACCTCCCAACTAGATCACTTCCCACCCCCCCACACTGTCACTGCATAGCCTGTGCACCTCGCCCTTGTAGCTGTCCTGATAGGATGGTGTATTTGTTAGCCTGACTGATTAATATCTATTTTACTGGAATGTAAGCTCCCTGATGGTGGAGACCAGTCTGTTTTGCTCACTTCTTTAGCCCTGGCCATGCAATAGAGATTTGTTGAATAGAAGAATAAGTGAATGAAGGCTCAGTCAGACTCTAGCTTCTTGGGTGGATGGGGGGAGGTGGGATTCTGCTCCTCTTCGTTCCAGTATTTGTAGGGGAGGAGAACGGGACAGGAAATTCTGTGGTTGTGTCTAATCCTTAGAGAAGACTTTGGAGAAGGAAGGAGGCTGGAAGGGCAGCTGATGTTTACTGATTGCGACCTCTGGGCCAGGCACTGTCATAGCCATTGCCCCAAGGTTAAATAGTGTGGGACGATCACGTGGCTGGTAAACAAGCAGACTGGGTCAAGTTCTTTCTGACCTCAAGCTCTTTCTGCTGCACCAGTGGTTTAAAAAAAAAATATTTAAAACATTTTTTTACTAAAGGCCAATATATAAAAAGGTAGGTAGTCGCATGACTGCCCCCTCTCTGACTCTAGGCCAGTGATGGTGAACCTATGACACGCGTGTCAGAGGTGACACGCGAACTCATTTTTTGGTTGATTTTTCTTTGTTAAATGGCATTTAAATATATAAAATAAATATCAAAGTATAAGTCTTTGTTTTACTATGGTTGCAAATATCAAAAAATTTCTATATGTGACACGGCACCAGAGTTAAGTTAGGGTTTTTCAAAATGCTGACACGCCGAGCCCAAAAGGTTTGCCATCACTGCTCTCGGCACTGCCTGGGGAGAACAGTTTAAAAGCCTTGAATGTTAGTGTCTATGTTTCTGTAACAAATTACCACAAACTTAGTGGTTTACAACAACACAAATACCTTGCAGTTCTGGAGGTCAGAAGTCCCAAATGTGTCTCCCTGGGCTGCAGTGGAGGTGTTGGCAGACCTGCGTTCCTTCCTGGAGGCTCCAGGGGGACATCTGTCCTAGTGGACTTTCCAGCGTTAGAGGCTGCCCCAATTCCTTGGCTTGTGGCCCTTCTTTCATCTTCAGACCAGCAGTGGCGCATGGAGTATTTTTCACATATTGTCATTCTGCCACTGACTTCTGCCTCCCTCTTCCACATTTAAAGAGCCCTTGTGATTACATTGGGTGTACCCAGATATTCCAAGATGATATCTCTGTTTTAAGGTACATGGTAAGCAACTTTAATCCCATCTTTCTGCCTTAATTTCTCTTTGGCGTATAACTGGACGCATTTACAGGTTCCAAGAGTTAGGAGTTAGGAATCCTTGCTGGGCCATTCTTCTGCCTTCTGTACCCTGCACTGTCCTCTTGCCTCCAATTAGGAAAGGACAGATGCAGGAAGAAGGAGGGAGGGCAGACTTTGAAAGATGAAGCTTTTTCTGTAGATATACAAATGATTGATAATAAGCACATGAGAAGATGCTCAACACCATTAATTATCAGGGAAATGCAAATTTAAACCACAAGGAGATACCACTTCAAC